CTTTATTCATCCCACATTGGGGAAATTACAGTGTTGCAGAAGAGTAGGAAAGAATAGCACACGGCACAAGATTTAAAGTATTAACAAAAACTCTATAATAAATAAAACAAAATAAAACATCTCTAACTCTAGCATGATTAAGAAACAAGTATAAAATCTATATCTTTAGCTTAATGAGTACAATAGCTCTGACTTTAGAACAATAAAAAAGTACAAAATCTCTACCCAATACATAGTAGTGCTAGTTTTGAGTGTGTGGGTGAACTTGTGAATGGCTTTAAAGCCAATGTTGCTAATAATGAAGTTATTTCAGTTAAATAAACCCTATAGGCTCCTTTTGATGAGAGAAAGAACAATGGTGAAGCCCTGCAACTTTACGTCTAACATCAATAACAAAAATAATTACAAGAAAGATGTCAAGTGAATGTAAGCCAAACATTTGTGGGAAGTCAGGTCTCTGTATAGAAAGTGTTCTGGATTCAACTCTGCTACATTGACTCAGGGGATAAAAGATTTAGAGGACATTAAAAAATACAATTGTAATACAGTCACTTTAATGAAAAAAACCAGAAAAAAACACATGACACAGTTTGAGGTTAATATTTTACTGTTATAAATATCCTGTTTAAATACACAAATAATAAAATAGCTCAGCCATTTGACTTGATAAATAAACATCTCCCCCAAAATGGAGAGACTGGAGGAGGTCCGGGTCTGAGCCACAAACAGAACCGGTCCACAGAGGGCTCACAAGGCTACACGGTAGCTGATAAAAACATCTGCAAATCTCCCCTGCTTCAGCAATGCATCACCTCAGCCACTGGGACAAACACTCCACACAGAGCGGGACGGCCACATGAATTATGGATGAGTTTAGTCCTGTTTTGGTCTTCAATTATTAATGGCACAGTACATTTTTGAATACATGTTGGATTGATTGCAGAGCAGTCATATTTAATGAGGTTTGTTTGCAACGTCCTTAGATATCTGCTTAAAATGGAGCGACAGAAATGGGAGTGTCAATTCAGCACAAATATCTAATAACAGCAAAACAAGTGCCCAGAATAACCTCCAGATGACTAGTTTCTACCCAGAAGTAAACAAAAAAAAAATGCAATACTGACCAAATGCACTTTAATAATTGCTGTTTGTCGACAATTTTGTTTTGCTTTGCCCTGTTTTGAATCATACAGTTCAAGGCTTTGGGAAACGGCAGGAAAATATGAACTTAAACTCAAATGCAGCAGAGGTGGCAAAAGTACTGGTCTTCGGTACAAATACTTATACAAAATGATAGAATTTAAGTATTTCAGTAAGGTATTTGTAAGTAACAGTATAGAAGTACAAGCTTTTGCTGTTAAGTTAAAAAGTAAAAAGTGAAAGGCATTTTTGTTCAGTAATAGATTTTTAGCATTGCCTGTAGACCAACCGTAATACTGCAGTAGACATGTTTTATACAAGCAGAAAACATAACTCCAAATGCAACTGTTGCCCTATAGATGACTGAAGTTAGAAGCATGACAATCCACAATGAATTATTTCACTTAGAAGAATAGCTAACCACTTCAAAACTGCATTGGTCCATTTGGAAACTGGACAATTTTTCTCCTCTCCTTCCCTCTTGATGCTGTGATAATCTGCAAGGTCATTTTGAAATGCAATGTGTAGAACGATAAACAGATATTTGGGTTTAAAAGTAAGGAGTAAAAGTGAAAGGTTGTCAGAAAAAATTAAGAACTGATACCAGAATAAACGACTTAAGTAAACTACTATACTTGCCACCTCTGCCACGCCGCCTACAATGACACACCAAAAAAAAAAATTCTAAATTGGTAGAAAACGCCAATACTGCACTGCACATGTGCGAGTTTTGTGCAAATAATCCATTAAGCTAATTTGTGCCAATGATTATCAGAGCGAAGTCAAAACGAAAAACGCAGGGGCCAAAAGTCATCCCAAAAAACCTATGACTAAACAGGACGCGCTTGTTTGCCAAATTGGGGAAAGCTTCAGCTATGATTAACCTATGACGGGACAAGCCAAAAATGAGAGCGGTGAGTAAGGACTTGAGGGTGGCTGAGGACAGAGTCAGGTCCTGCTGGGAGTCGTGCTCTCGGGTCGACACAACCTATATCTGTCTATTACTCAGCCTTTCGCAGTGCACTCACATCAACATCACCGCGTTTGGAGGGGACAGGAGGGAGGGGCTATACATTCACAAGCACATCAAAAGGCCCTGCAGACAGCCCAGGACCTCTGGGTGCCGTGTCCCGGGTTGAAGGACGGCCCGTCAGATAGAAAACTCCCTATCATCTATCTTGCTGTCAGCTGGAGGTCTCACCCCAAATTACAGGTGGCTGCAGCGGCGATCATTTGAGATTAGATATATGAGGCAGCCCAAAGTGACACTTGAAAAGAAACCCTGGACATTTTCTGCTAATCGCATGTGAAGGTATAACACAGTTTTGGAGTATAGGGCTGCACGATTTACCACAATTGAATCAAAAATTAGACTACATGGTTCTCTTAACAGCCCATTGCTTGTTGAATATTATAACAGTCTATATACCCTCATGTTTAAAGCGCGAGGAATACAAGGATCACGGCAAACGTAAATAAAATAGGTCGATAAGCGCGCAAATAAGGTAGTATCTGTCTTCGTTTGAGTGAATTTTGACTTGATTTAATTGCTAATAAAAAGGGAGGTCCAGGCTTAATCTAAATCAGTTTAAGAACAGATGGATTTTTAAGTGAGAATTTGCTAGTCAGTGAAGATATTGTCAAATAGAGAAATACAACTTCAAACATGGTTTTCAACTTTTCCATCAAATTTGAATTCTCCTTGCGCACTTTGAACAATATCCTAGCTGCACACAGAAATAATAAACTGGATTGTACACACAGTGGTTATCTGCAAATCAAAGTTGGATAATGCAAAAAATATTTCTAATTCTAACTGCAGTAATTGCTGGACTATTAAGCACATCTCTGTATAAACCGCACCAACTAAGTTTAAAAAGAAAGTACATTTAGACACACTTTGAATGTATAAGCTGCAGGGTTTCGTGTTGTAATGGGTTGTGGCTAGGGCAGTAGGATAATTCAAATATTGGCATTCAACATTCTGCCTTTATTCTCATTCGTGAACGTGACTATGGTTTGAGTAGAGGAAGCATGATTCTTTGAACGTTTCTTTTTTAAGGTACTGTATCTTTAAGAGAGTCCCTGCTGTGTCACCTTAGCTCTTAGTCTTAATAGCAGACCCCAAGACACTATAATTAATTTGGCTTCAACAGCAATGCAATGTTTTCAGGCTATGGCAGTATCCACACATGACACACATTGTACCATTTCTCTGTCTTTAATGCCACAAAAATGGGGCATTAAGTTAGCAGTGACATTTAGAGGCCAAGAGGAAAATAAGTAGGACACTGGGAGAATAGAGTTACCTGATGGAGTAGAGTGAAGTACAATTATATCTGCTCTCAGCCGGAGCAGGCTTTCTCTCCCACGCACACTTTTTTTTTCCCAATTGCTGATCTTTATAAGCGTGGGCATCAACATTGTCAGATCAGTTTGTTGGATTAGCCACTACTGCGTTCTCACTTCACTCTAATGTTGAGAAAGAGATTCTTGGTGAGGGTCAACAGAGCACGAGTTCGATGTTTATCTGTCAGGAATAATTTGAGTTTTGATTCTGCTAAATGACAATGTAAAGCATTATAATAAATCTCATCGACTTATGTAATATTCTTCCATCGGCTTTGGTTAGGACTCAGCTCAAGAGCATAGACTGTATATTAGGAGAGGATTGACTGGATGGAACCAATTTCCTTATATGGGCGGTTGAATATAAGCCGCCAGTTTGCATGTTCTAATTTAACACCGAAAAAGCTGATAGAGCAAAACAAAACCGATAAACCACTGTTTTAACTGGACACAACATTTTTTAATCATGGGGTGTTTTAACGCACTGTTGACTCGTGATCATCAAAGATTCTGGTAAATCCATTTCTTGTCTGATTTGACGATGAACGTGCGTCCCATTCTTACTATAATCCGATAGAGTCAAAATGTTAAAAAAAAAAAACTGTTCATTTCATAAGTCCTGTGCATCTTCTTTCTCTTCCTCTCTCCTTTTCCTCGTTCAGCTTTGGAGATTAACAGCTGATTTAGTTGTGTCTAAATGTTTTTTCTTAACAAAATAAAAATACATACAATGGCTGCATTGCTATATAGGCCGCAAAATTCAAAGAACTGGAAAAAAAAAGTAGTGGCTTAGAGTCCAGCAATTACGGTATTAAATAAAAACCATGACCTTATTACGTTAGTGGAAATTTTTGTATTACCTTTGTGCTGAATAATTATAACTACATTAGTGGTATAAAAACAGACTCAATGTCAAATAATACATTGATGATTCAAGGCAAGGCCAATTCAAGTTGTTGTAATCATCGGTGTGTGTGCTTTAGAGGAGATTTTTGCCGAGGTCCAATATGACGGTGTACAATTATCCGACTTAATAGCAGCATGATTAAAACAGCAGTGGTTTCAGTTTCTCCATCACACCATATATTTTCTGCAGATAACTGATGCGGATCGCTCTGGCTCAAAAAAAACGACATCACTGCAAAAAAGTAAAACCCAATGCATTCGGCGTCTAATTTTCAAATCACACACTTCATTCCTCACGTTATTGTGCAATGATACCCAAGAACAGCCTCATCACGTCACAATGTCATCCCAGGTTTGTGCAAATGCGCTAACCCATAAAAACACGTTCACCGTCTCGTCCCCTGAATCCTTTTTTGGGCCATTTATTACCTCCTAATTGCCAGTTCTTTGCAGCGGGACGGCGTCTGGCTCGAGGTTATCGGCGTAAAGCGGTCATTAGTGCAGACTTGACCGAGGCTCTGAATGTATAATTTTGTAACCTGCAAAAAATTGGCGTTTACTTCAGTTTTCTCCTTTCCGTTTAGGGTGCAGACGGACGCGGCCTTTCACTGGGGAAGTACGGTCAGGATGTTTGTGATGGTCCACTTCTGATTGGTGCAAGCCTGAATGGAAAGCTGGACCCTGAACTCGGACTGTCGGTTTTCCACCAGCTCCAGGCAATTCATGGACTCAGTGTTTTGGATCGAACCACCCTGAGAGAGAGAGAAAAAAATTCATAAAATCAAATCTATAATGAATGATTTATTATGAAAAAGTGTTCAATGGATCTGTGCAACATGTAGTCCCCAATAAAAACAGTAAATCAAACTTATATAGCACTTTTTTGGACACTCAAAAACGCTTCACAAAACAAAATAAACATTTCAGAACAATATTTGAAAAAAGGTAAAGTGAAACAGGTAGGTGTTATGAAGTGATTTAAGGTTCTGTAGTCGTGGTCTGTAAATCAAGGAGAGTTTCACCGGAACAAATAGTAAGTAAATGTAAAAGAGCTGAGAATTTTGTTTTTTTCTTTTGCATTGCCTCATTTCTGCTTTGGGCCTCTGTCTCCATCTTTCACCGTCTCCTCCGCACACCTGCCTGCCTGCTGCCTGCGTACTAACCCACACACAGAGTCAAAGCAAAGGCCAGACCTGGATGAAATGTACATGTATCACTTGAAAAATCCTCACACAGAGAATTAAAGAGGTCAGTGATCACGTCTTCGTACAGGCACATGTGATGTTGGTTAAGCTGCAGACGCGTATTATGTTAAAATCCCACTCATCCACGAAATACAAACTGCATGGAGAGACACAACAGGTTCTGTGGACATCAGGACTGGGTTAGGTTCGGGTTGGGTATCGGCAGAATTCTCTCTAGTTCTCAACGACCCATAAAGGAAAGGATTACACACACATACATCCTGAATAGAACATTAATCACATTGCAACTACACCATCAGTAGATAAATATCATGGTATTAAAGGAGATTTGAAATATTCGCCATGATATTCACTAATGCCTTGTGAGAGGTGTGAAGGCAATATGCACTAGAGATGGGACAAGAGTGATGTGAAATTGACAAAAGATTCTGAAATAAAGGTGATGTTAGTAACTTCCATTGTATTTGATGTTTAAAAAGAATGCCTTTTTTGTACCATAGTAACCTGTACTTTATTATGTGTTTGATTCCACTACGCCATCCCCACCAGCGAAAAAACAGTGTCTTTTGTTTCCGCTTTGACTTTGTCTTCGTGTCTTTTGCGTCTCAGCTTCATCACACTTGAACTGTATTGACGTAATCCCAACAGTCCACTGATGGCAAGTCGATCGTCCGTCTTTGAGTTGTGCGACCTCCTGAGTGACTTCCACAAGTGTACTTAAAAGTCCGCTACCCCTTCCTCCCCCTTCCTCCCTCTTCCTCCCCTCGTCAACGCTGGGAGAGTTTAAAGACACGCACATTTACTTTTTTTGTTTTTTTTACTGTGGCGGCTTGCAGACAAATGCGTGGCTCCGGTCCAGGCCGTTGTCCCATGCGCTGCAGTGAAGGGACCCGGCCTTCTGCAGAGTGCACACTTGGACTGCTGCTATTGATTCCCTGCTATTAAAGCCGGAGCACTAGTTAATCAGTGTGTCAGTGAGGCAGCGAGCCAGAGAGCGAGGCCACGCGCTCAAGCAACAAGTCACCACCGGCACGATCAATGACACCGGTGGAGAGATAAATAGGGACTCTCTTCTTTCAAAGGTTCATGCAGATAAACACAGACGGATGTTAAGTAAAGTAAACTCAAAAACTTTAAACAATTAATACAGTACTTGGATTCAATAACTTATATATTTTAGTATATAGTCTGGGTGTCTCTGCTTGGATTGCTGCCCCGCAACCCGGCAACGGATGAAGCGGAAGAAAATTCATAGATGGATGGATGGATATATAAGGTCTGAGCAAAGACACAAGGTTGTTAGACCAAAAACTCATGCTTGTCTTATTCTTAAAGGTGCAGTAAGCAATTTTGTTAGCTTAGCCATAGCACCAACTAGAAACCACTCCCCCCTCGCCTCTCCACCAAACCAAATATCCGGAATTTTCTTTTCTTTGTCACAACAGGGAGAGTGGGTGACATATGTGAAATTGGCACTTTCTGTTCAGCCATTTTCGGTTTTAGAAATATAGATAACTCAGGTGCGCGCACTCGCGAGAAACAGGAAGAGGGTGAACGCATCCCATTGGTTCGTCGGGGATGAATGAATCCCATTGGTATTTTTATCAGTCCGCTCCATTAATTTTTGGAGACAAGAGGCATCTGGTCAATTCCATTACTTTTTGAAAACACATGATTACTCGACTACTTTTAAGGTATAGTGACGTTTTCCCACAATATTTAAAAAAATGTGTCCGGAAAAAATCCCTGTCTGCATCATTAAGCATCTAAGAATGAAATATCACAATGCTGTACTCCCCTTTATTGCCATCAATAATGACAAAAAGAAATTAGGTCCTGCATGAGGGTGAGTGAGTATTTGCAGATCTGACAGTGTCATTTCCGAATCGTTATAATTTTGTTTTTATTTTAGTAAAATTGTTAACACACTTTGCTTTGCTTCAGGAAGAATAGCTGTGTTTGACCAGATAATGGAGATCAGAACAAATACATGAAGTTTTGTTCTTCACCATGACCAAGGTCAAAACACATGCGTCTTAAATGTATAAAAGTGTCCATACAAACATACAGTACTTTATATTTTTATCTAAACCAGTGTGGGAAAAACGTTTTAATTGATTTTTTACTGAGAAACGCTGAGTTCAACTTCAAATGTCCTCTATGCAGTTACCTTTAAATATGAAAGTTAAGTGTAACAGTGAAGTCGATAGTTTAATCACTGAAAGGGGATAAAGGGGTGGGATTAAATACGTTTTTTTCTTCTTCCCACTCCTTTTCAGACAGAATTATTTATAAAAAAAATTATTTACTGTTTTTTGTTAATTGTGTGTTTTGTTAATAAACGAATAAATGAAATGAATGAATGAAATAAATATTTTCTATGACGGACACGCATCAATTAGGAAGGAGGGGATCTGCCCTTCTCTCCGGTGCTGTCCTTGTCTTTATTGAAGGCAACACCTGCGGGTCATCGTTAGTTCAATATTGTAAAAGATCTGCTTATCAATAATTCACTGGTAGCGTCCGCCTGCAGCTCTCGTGCGCCCCACTGCTTCACTGTTTGTGCTCTTATGTCTCTACAGTCTTAGAAGTCTTCTCCAGAAAACTTTCCTGCATCACATGTGACATTCAGCTTGATCTGGACTTTATTACCTCGGCCCAGGGAGTTTGGTGACCACCGGCGTTGGTCTCGTCGTCTAAAATTGTCAGGACAGTTTGTTTGAGAAAGTTTTATCCCAGAGTCCCAGTGATCTGTATCATTGTGGATTTTTGTAGTTTTTTGTTGCTGAAGACTTAGAGCTCACAGTGGGTACTTATACATGCCTCCATTCCAAAGAATATTTTTTTTCTTCAAATGGAGATATATCATGCGTATATAAGGCTGTATCTCTGTGCTGTTCGAGCCTGACACGCTTCTGACACTTACTTACGCTTCTGACACTAAAAATCCTTGACCTTCTGGGTCAAGGATTTTTATGTAAGACACAGCTATTTTCTTATATATTCCTTCTATATCTTTCTATTCAATGTGTTTACTGACGTACTGTATTACTTGAAAAGAAATAGAATGCACCAACACAACACGGTTTATTTTATGTTCTCAATAACGGAGGCTGTTGAGAATCACGATTTTATACAAGCCATTATGAAGTGCTTTACCACTTGGTTATTGGACTCGACAATAACCAGTGGTTAACCACGACGCAGTTTAAGTAAGGACACATCGTGTGTACTAAAAAACAACATTCAGATGTGAGTTTGAATTGATTTGCCCTTTGCTATTCTGCAGAAAAGTCTAAATGGTAGCTGTGATTACTCCGAGCTCTTTTTAATCACTAACAAGCCTAATTATTGCTGCAAACATGGCAGAAGTAATTATCTCCGTCCTTTTAACACTGTGATGATGTAATAGATGACAACAGTTGAAGGGTTGGATTAGTACACAGCGCCACACAGAAGTACGCAGTCAAACAGTGTGAACTCTTAATCCAGTCTGATCCGGCAGCAGCTCTCCGGCCTCTGACTAGAGCTGTGATGTTGACCTTAGCGCGATGTTTTTGCCTCCTGCCACATAAAACTTCCCTTTTCTTTGCAAAAAAATAAAATAAAATTAATAAACAACTCTCCCATCTCACTTGACTCCTGGCACGAGTTTCCCATAAAGCACTTCTCTCGGTTCCCATGGTGAGCAGCTCTAGAGATCTTTAGGACTTATGACTCAAAAAAGTTTAATTTCTCAATTCTGGCCAAAGCCAAAGCTAAGGCTAATTAAAAAACACACTTTCTCAATAGTTGCCTTGGCAACAGAGGAGCACTTTGTTCACTGGATACAGCTGGACACGAAAGATGTGAAGGGAAAACATGGAGGATGATGACCATAATAATGACCATATAGAAATGACCAATGCAACTTTTCCTCTATTCAGAACCCCAAACATGCAAAAGTTGAAATATATAAAATTAGATTATTTGCTTTTTATTTAAAATTATTTTTAATACAAAATTAATTGGTCATAGGTTACAGCCATGGCCAAAGTAAACAGCAAAGCCGAAAGATATTTGGGGTATCTATCTACTAATTACATAAGGGTCTCAAACAGACACAGACCAGTGTGTGAGTTAAAATGAGTGCATTTAAGTATTTCAGACACTTCAGTTTGTCTTTTCATCCCTTTTTATGCTCAAATCACACAGCAACTATGATATGTCACCAACTGGGTGTTAAAGTCAAGGCCCGCAGGGCAGATCTGAATGATCTTGGCCCCTGGGATGATTTTTGATTAATAATAGAACCGGCCCGCACAGAGCCATAAGAAAATATTGGATTATTCATTTAATGTTCAGGACATGAGTTTTCTCTTTGAAGGAAGTTTGTTTTTGTCTGTGAGCCTGTTGAAAAATGTTTTCACTTGAAATTACTTACAGAGCCGAACAAAAAAGTTGGATTATTCATTTCATCATTAAATAAAATACAGTCCAGTGGGATAGGTCTTGGTTCAATAGGTTATATGCAATCATTTTAATATGTTTTGAACCAGTCCAGCCCTCGGCTTGTACCAAGTTGTTTTGTTGTTCCTCGCACGTATTTGACTCTGACATCCCTGGACTAGAGCATGCATTTTTATTACTTTCGAGTTGTAACTACTCCTATCTATTATTCAAAGTTCAACACAACAGAACAAAGGACTAGAGGTTACCTGAGAGAAGGCCCAGGTGAGCTTCATGTGCTTGTTGGCTGCATAGCGACACTCAATGAGGCGCGGCCTGTTGTTGACGTCCACCAGACATTTGTTGTCATCGTCATCGATGGTGGGACTGAGCACCCCGAGGTGCAGCTGCTGAGAGCTGGTGTAGTACACGTTCTGCACAAGGATCAGATTTCATCACATTACTCACATGTTATTATGCCGTTCAAATTCTGTGCATTGAAATTTGGTGTAGACATAGTTTATGCAATCTACTCTTGCATTACCAACGACTGGACTAACAGGAAAGATTTGCTTTTTCCAAAACCGGCTCATTTAAAGCAATGTTTATTAGTCTGCATTGTCCCTAAATAAAGAACACAGTGATGGCAGCCTAAAGGGTCTCTTGTTCTCAAAACGGACCAGAAAATTGCTATAATGAGTAGAATATTATATGTTATAAATAGCACATCCATTCCAATATTTCTATTACATTTCCTGTCGACATACAATTTTCTTTTTGTATGTGGGACTTATGTGGGACACTAAAAATGGCTCCTTCTCTGCCCTCCTCCATAATGTAGGTACTTAGAGTCTTGCAGAAACCAGGCAGCGGTTACTAAGCACAGAGTCATTAGCAGTTCAAGTGTAGCCTACTTACACTGTTTACATTCTATGCTCCCTATTGTCACAATGTGCAGGTGGTGTAAACAGGCTGGAGGTAATGTAATGTTTTTTTAGTTTTTTTTTTCAAGAGATGATACAAAAGAGGCTTATTTTGGTTATGTTTCCCCTGGCTTCAATTATATTAAACTCATACTAATGTGATGTATATCTCTTGGCACGTTTCAGAAGCTAACTGGACGCAATCACAAGAATGTAAGCTCATCTTAATTAACTGGGGCAGTCAAAATACAGATGTTATACCCAACTGGTTATAATTTTTTTTAATTTTTTGTTTACATTTGTGTTTTTTCAAAGAAACAAAACAAGCCACAATATTGTTATTTTACTAGAAAAACTATAATCTTTTGCATACTGAGATCTGATTGGCTGAGTGAGGTGGAATAATGAAAATGATTGGCTAAGTGAGAGTGATATCCTCTTTTTCACTTTTCTGTCCCAAAAAAGCTACAGATGAAAAGTTACATGAATTTATTATATACAGTAGTTAATTATCTGTGGTTTAGAAGGTACTCCAGCTTTAATAAAAATAAAATAAAATAAAATAAAAATAAAATAAAGATTACTTACTTACTTACTAATATTGCCTTTGATTAAATTCATGTGTAATAATAATAATAATAATAATAATAAATCGGTTTTATATAGCGCTTTTCAAAAACTCAAAGACGCTTCGCAATTTAGGATACACGCACACACACACACACACACACACACACACGTTGAGACAGACACACAAAACTAAAAATCTAAAAGCAGGAAAGAAGAGTATAAAGTTGAAACTAAGAGTCATATGCTTGGGTGAGTTTTTAGCTGTTTTTTGAAGGAGTTTAGTGAGTCCGAGTTTGAGGGGGGAGAGAGTTCCAGAGAGTGGGAGCAGAGATGGCGAGAGCTCGGTCGGATGTGTAAATAATACCATCTTTATGTGTTAAAAAACATTTACAATTACAAAAATTTGGAGCCAGAAATATATGACATGTTTTATGTTGTGTTCAAGCAAAATTCTGCTTAAAATTTCACACGTTAATATTCTCACAATAAGACGTAATGTATGCGTGTTACATGAATCCTGAGATAACATAACGACAAAAACAGGTGAACGGGAACATGTTTTAGAGCGAATGGTTAAAATCAGCATTTCAAACACACATGCAAATGTTGTCCCAGTTTGGAAGCAGCAACACAACTTCAGTCGGCTTAAATCAAGAGAACAAGACAAGAGGCAAGACAGGACTGAGGCAGGATCACACAAAGACACATGCGCACAGATTCACAGAACACACAAACATGCGCACAAAGAACACAGACATAACTCATTACGATCATTACACAACAACTCTACTCCGATATCTGTCCAAGTCCATTCTTTGCAACCACAAGTTTGTTTACAAAGCATGAGAATCCAGAGTGCGCTAATAAACCACACGTTATTTGGCCTTATTTTCAATTCACTTCATTTTTGTACAGCCCTAATTCACAACAGCCGTCGTCTCGGAGGACTTTACCAAATCGTCAATTCGTCAACAACAGATTAGTGAATGAAATTAGTACACATGAAATGAAATAATAACCAACACATAGGAGCCTTTGGTCCATAGGGAGCTGGAAGACCTACAGCATGTATGTAAACGTTCAGAAATATTCAGAAATGTCCTGAATCATCGCTGCACTTAGACCGTCTTGCATTGGCCAGAAAGAACTCAAAAACTCAGTGAGGATTGTTTTATTCCCAGACCTGTCACCACCAGAATTTTGCAAGTGAACATGCAGAGGGCTTTTCCGACAGAGCAGTGGAGGAGCCTTGTGACGCTTTCAAACGCATCTCGTAACTTTGTCTGTAAATAAAGGGGTAAATAAATATTCTTGACAACCACTATACTGTATCTCTATTAGCCTAACACACACTTTGAAGCTTTCTGTAGAGGACAATTAAGATACAGCTGGATATATATCAAATTATGGAACAAATCCAACTGACTATGATGAACTAGATAAAGTTGTCATTGGTCAATAGTGGTTGTCAAGAACATTTATTTTCTCCTTCGTAACTAAGTAAATTATCATGTCGTGAATAAGGTTATTACTCCAAATTTGTAACTGTAACTGTTAATAAAATGGCCATCAAACATACAGTGTAAGCACACAGTTGGTACATGACATCACAGAACATTTTATCTATTGGATATTTGATTTTCACATTTTGATTTGTGGATTTAAGCAAAGCATTTGACACTATAGATCACACAATTCTACTTAGAAAATAAGAACGCAACGGTATCAGGGGTATAGCCTTACAATGGGTAAAGAGCTATCTGAGTGAAAGAACACAGTTTGTAAGATTGGGAGAATATAGCTCTAGATGTTTAAATGTCAATTGTGGAGTTCCACAGGGTTCTGTATTGGGACCAAAATTATTTATTTTATATATCAATGAGTTGTGCCATGTGTCATCGATATTAAAACCCATATTGTTTGCGGATGATACTAATCTGTTTTGCTCTGGCTCGGACCTGCAAAAATTAGTTCAAGATGTAACTACAGAATTTAACAAAATTAGAATGTGGTTCAATATAAATAAATTATCCTTGAACATGAATAAAACAAAATGTATGTATTTTGGAAACAGTGCAAATAATGCAGAAATTACTATATCAATGGATGGCACAAATATAACACAAGTGAACGAAATTAGATTTTTGGGGGTCATTATGGACAATAAAATTAACTGGAAATCACATATTAAGTATGTGCAAAAAAAAGTGTCAAAAAGTGTTGCGGTCCTTAGTAGAGCAAGGCAGGTTTTAGATCAGCGATCGTTATATATTCTTTACTGTTCACTGGTTTTGCCATATCTCACTTATTGCACAGAAGTATGGGGAAATAATTATAAAACTAATCTGCAGTCATTAGTCATACTTCAAAAGAGAGCAATACGCCATGTGTATAAAGCAATTTATTTAGAACATACCAACCCTCTGTTTCTTAAATCAAGATTACTCAAATTTTCAGATTTAGTCTCCTCTCAAACATTACAAGTGGTGTTTAAAGCCAAGAATAAATTGTTACCAGGAAATATTCAAAGGCTTTTTAGTGAAAATGAAGGTGTTTATGAACTAAGAAATAAAATGTTCTTCAAGTCTGTATTTATACAGACAACAAGAAATAGCTTTTCTGTCTCAGTATCTGGAATAAGATTATGGAATAAGTTGCCAGTGGAAATCAAGGAGTGTGATAATATCAAGCAATTTAAAAGGAAATATACGGAAATGGTTCTTGCAACATATGACAATATGTAACCTTAAGTCATTACAATGAATATACATATATTCTTTTCTAATACTTTGACGATTAATCGCAAGTTAAATCAAGTTCTAATTGTAAGATTTCAATTGGGCACTATCAAGTTTGTCCAAATTATAGAAGAAATAAATTTAACTGTTGCTGTTGCTCCGATGTCATTTCTATAACTATTCTAATCATACAATGGTAACTTGGGGTAGGCGAGTCATGGGTCTGTTGGCTAGGGGTCCCCCCCTCTCAACGGGCACATAAAGCCTCGTCTTCTTAATGCACCACACGGTACAGGAGGTAAACATCATCCACCAAGTCTCAGGGTAGCTGGGTGGGGACTGGTTGATTGAGGGCGTCCACCCACTTTCAACAGGCCACTATACACTCTGGCTTTTTAACGCAACACACTAGAAAGGGTTTACAGTTTGGGCATGCCATTTTCATAATAACAATAAATAGTGGATAGTAATGACAACGAGGCAAGAGGGCAGAATACAAAATGTCTAACATGCCTATATAATATGAAAACGAATATTCATCCATTGATAATGACAAGAAGGATAATTGTTGTAATTGTTATGATCAATGACATTAACCATAAGTTATAACTATTGTTATTTGTCAAATGTGAAATGCTAAAACCTCTTTATTTGCCAGTGCTGCAAATTGTAAACTAAGGCTGGTGATTGTATGTTGACAAGTATAGCTATAGTAGGATAAACGTTAACTCACAGACATGTACAAGTATATAGTTTTGAAACTAATACAAAATACTCAGGAAGGATTGTTTTCTGTTTGATAAAAATGTAAAAGCAATGTATAACTGTATCATCTTTAACTGCAAATGTAATTTTACATGAACAAGGGGTAGGCACTTATAAGCTTTTGCTTCAGTCTACTCCCTTTGAGCTTCATTAACTGTATGATTGTGAAACATTGGAGGAAGAAAAATGTTAACTGCTCAAATAAACTAAACTAACTAACTAACTAACACAGGCTCTTAAGCGCACTATTATTACGGTGAAGTTTGTGTAAGAAAATTAAAGAAATGCAGTGAAGGACTAGAAGTTTCATTGCAATGATCAAAATGTATTTCTATAATAACATGTTATTTTTCCCTGCACTGCATCCGTCAGCCTTGCCTCAAAAGGATTCGGTTCACGTGAGTACATTAGAGCTCAACCACAGTTCTCTTATTGTAG